GGTAGTAGTATAGTATTATGGAAAAAAAAAATAGGGCAGTATAAGGGGTTAGAGAGTGAAGGCAGAGCTTAATTTGAGACAGGATGGTCTGAGAGAGTAACATCTGGCAGAGACCTAATGACAATTTCTTAACTGGTTCCATGTGCACACATTCATCTACACCCCAAAAGCATTTCATGTGCTAGGTCCCCAGCTTGCTAGGGGGGTGACTATGGGAATGAAGAGGGTGCTAGTAAAAGTAAATGTTCACAATTCGTTCACGTGGTTTCAGTTCTGCCAATTCATAATGCCCCAACATCCCAAATGAAGTCCACGTGATGGACCCACACATCTCAAGGATGTCTTCCCCAGACTGGGAGTCTATCAATACATTAACAATTTCAGGGGTCCCCATCTTCAACTGTGCACTAGACTACCAAACTCTCCACCCACCTCAGTGAGCTCGCTCCTTGCCAGGTGCTCTGGTGACTCCGCCTATGGGACTTACTGGAAAGCTTAGAGGCAAAGGAGATTGGATCTATGAAAGGATCTTCTACTCACTACTGAGAAGCGTTGCAGAGCCAGGGGAAATGGAGCTGACTCTGTTGCTGTAAGTTTCTGACAATTTCTCCAATACTTTCTTTGGACCTGCTTCTAGCAATAGGATTTTCTTATCACAAAAGTGAATATCATGTCCTAAAAAAGAAAAAAAGCAATATTTTGTATCATTTTAGAATCTATTTCCCATTTCCAAGAGAAACAACAGATTAATTAATTTCTTAGCCCTCAGAATACAAATTTCTTGGAAGGTACATAAACGTTACCCATGCAGAGTTGTAAGCAATGACATACACCACCACTCCAGCCGTGAGAACCACCCTACCCACAATTGGAAGGCTTCTCCAGACAGACAAAGTCCACCATGTGCTATGTGCAAAGAAGCAAATAATGGCAAAACCCATAACTAGCAAATAGAATGCCCTAGAAAGGAAGAATGAAGTAAAAAAGACTGTAGTATTTAAACACCAATTATTTCCAATCTTCTGAGTATTAAGTCACTAAAAATGATAACTCCTATTCAACAGAAAAATGGAATAAATAAGCCAAATTCATTGCAGTCTCAAAATTAAATAAAGAATGAGAGTTTATAAAAGAAAAGGGGGCCAAAAATATATCAAATGTGCTACAAATATGATCCTGAAACATCTATAGAGACAAGGAACTTGGTTACTGGGTGACTAACTTTGCAGCAGATAGAGTCCCTCCACAGTGTCTCAGAGAAGGTACAGGGAAAATATAAGGAAGGAGGGTATGAGCTGCTGCTGCCAAGAAAATAGAAAAACAATGTGATGTGATTACCAGAGAGATGAAACACTGGGGGTTTTATTTAGTAATGATGAAAAGAAACCCCACAAACCTTTATCCCCCTTTTAAAATATTTAGAATTTAAATGAGAAGAGAGGCACTGTTGCAACATAAAAAGCAGAAGGTGTGAAAATCAGTCAGCTGCAGTAAGCAGGCAGTGAGTGGCTACTAGGTCTGCAGCACCACAGCAGTTTTTGCTATGGAGGAGGGGCAGGGGGATATGCTCTGCAGAGGGGGCTGTTTTCTAGTCCCACGTACCTCTGCCCTTGATCTAAGGGCAGCTGCTTCCCGCTACGATCCTACCCACTCAAGCTTCCCCTCTGCAGGCATGGTCTTTCCACCAGGCCTGCACACCTCCTCCCCAAGATAGATCAGTTGCTTGTTCTGTAAGGGAGTTTTCATTTCATTCTTCCTTCTACTAGTTATTTACAAATCTTTTCCTTTGCTACATTCTAAATCCCTTGGGGCCAGGACCATTTTTTTTCCCTTTCGGTTAATATCTCCTGGTGCAAATGCTGTATCTTCTCAATCCACAAAGTAGATGTTCAAAGTCTGTCAGGTGAGAAAGGGAAACTAACAGGAAAAGAACTAGATTTCCAAACACATTATAAAGTATAGCCAGGTTCAATATTTTATTTTTTAGCTATTTAATGTAATATTTTAGCAAATTCACTTGGAGAAAAAATGATAGAGAATTTACAAATAATGTGAGAGGGAAATATATATTAATAGATGTTTCAAGCCTGAAACATAAAACTAATGTGAGTCTGAAGCAGAAAAAAATCAAGTAAGATATAAGTTGACTTAATGGAGAAATATTAAAAGCACACTGGAAATTTTTCACTTTAAAAGCAACTGTCTAAAATAAGTGCATATTGAAATAAAAAGTGATCGGCATGTATACTACTGACAAAGAATATGCTTTTTTTTTGAGGGTATTGGTCTGTTGCCCAGGGTGTAATGCAGTGGTGTGATCACTGCAGCCTCCAATTCAGGGTTGGGCTCAGGCCCTCCTCCTACCTCAGCCTCCCTAGTAGCTGGAACTACAGGCACAAGCCACCATCCCTGGATACTATTTTAATTTTTTCTTTTTTTAGAGATGGGGTCTCACTATGTTGCCCAGGCTGGTCTCAAACTCCAGGCCTCAAGCAACCCTCCCACTTCAGCCTTCCAAAGTGCTGAGAATACAAGCATGAGTCACTGCACCTGGCCTTAGTGCTCAATAATTGATACTATGTTTTTATAATTGCTCTGATACTCCAGCCCATTAGCTCATACAAAACATTGCTCCTCACCAGTTCTCTAGAAGAGGAGCCACTCCAGGGAAGATGCAGTTGTCATGCCATGATTCCGAAGTCAAAAAAGACTCACACTATTAGTGACCTTTAATTTCTAAGGGCAGAAAACTCAAATCCAGTTTCTGAAAGCCACTGTTAAAAGGAACAGATCTGGAGTTTGGTGGCCTGATTTTGAATTCTGACTTTGCTATTGCCTCACTGTGAGACTTTGCTCCTTACTTAATCTTGTTAGACATGCTTCCTCCCATAAAATATGAACATAAGTAGTACCTACCTCACAGGGTAGTGGAGCAGCTTAAATTATACAGGTAAAGACAAGGTCCTTACCTCACAGGATACACAAAATTCAACTCAAAGTAGACCACAGATTTCTGTAGGAACTAAATCGATAAAACTAGGAAAAAACGTGGGAGTAAATCTTTGTGACTTTGGAGTAGGCAATGATTTCTTAGCTATGTCACCAAAAGCACAAGTAATAAAAGATTGATAAATTGGACTGCATCAAAATTTTAAATCTTTATGCTTCCAAGAACACTTATCAAGAAACCAAAAGAATGTTCTTTCCTGTATGGGCCTTTCCCGCCACTGTATTTTGTTCGCGGAGAGGGGCTCCTCAGGGCCCCCCCCTCTTTTTCCAGGACAGCAGGGGGTGGACCTCATCAATAAATGTAACTTGGTTTTGGTTTTTGGTAAAAAAAAAAAAAAAAAAAAGAAAGTAAAAGAACCATAAATTGAGTAAAAAGGCAACCCAAAGAATGGGAGAAAATATTTGCAAATCACACATCTGATAAGGGACTTGTATCCAGAATATATAAAAGAACTCTTTCAACTCAATAGTAAAAAGACAAACTGCCCAGTTTAAAACTGGGCAAAGTGTCTAACAGGCATTTCTCCAAAGAAGATAAACTACTAAGCATATGAAAAGGTATGCAGCATCATTAGTCATTAGGGAAATACAAATCAAAATCATGAGTTCCCACTTAATACTCACGAGGATGGCTATAAACAAAAAGACAATTAACAGGTGTGGTGCAGGATCTGGGGAAACTAGACCCCTCATATATTGTCGGTGAGAATGTAAAATGGTTTTTCAAAAGTAGCCACTTTAAAGAAACAGTTTGGCAATTCTTCAAAACATTAAACAGTTACCATCCTACTGGTAGGAAAAGATCCAAGATAACCAAAAATTTACGTCCACACAAAAATTTGTACACAAAATTGTTCATAGTAGCATTTAGGTTCATAGTAGCATTCCTAATAGGCCAAAAGTGGAAACAACCAAAATGTCCATCGACTGATAAATGAATAAACAAAATGTGGTATATACATACAGTGGAATATTCAGCCATCAAAAGGAATGAAGCACTGACACACACTACAACACAGATGAACCCTGAAAACATTAAGTAGATTCTATTTATATAGAACCGTCCAAAAAAGGCAACTCTATAGAGACAGAAAGTAGGCAAGCGGTTTCCTAGGGTTGAGGAGAAGTAGAGAAATGAGGAATGACTGTTAATGGGTTCAGAGTTTCTTTTTAGGGTGTGGAAAATATTCTAAAATTTATTGTAGTGATAGCTGCACGACTCTGAATTTCCTAAAAAACCATTAAACCGTACACTTTAGATGAGTAAACACTATGGCATGTAAATTATATTTCAGTAAAGCTGTTTAACCCCGGGCGAGCCTGTTTCCCCCACGCGTAGGATTGACTCACAAGGCCCCTCCCACTTTTGACCCTGCTGGATCCTGAAGGACCAAACGCGCGCCCTGGGGTTCCTCTAGGAGGGCAGGGCATAGACCACGAGGTCCGCGAAACTCAGTCTTTGGGCAAACAGTGCAAGAGCTCCTACGGCTCTCATCGCTCCTTCACAGCCCAGTTCCCTGCCACTACTGGTCTGGAGATGAGCTTACCCAAGGCACAGGCCATGGCAGCGCCCACCAGGCCTCCACCCGACACCACCACATCGTACACGGTATCTGCTGAGGCGCCGGACCACCTCCGGCAGGACACCAGCGGGCCTCTATAGACTGCGGGCGCTAAGCCCCACCGGCTCACGGCAAGCCGCGCAGCCATGGTGTCGGCCGGCCCCGCTGAACTCGGAGCCCCGCTAGGCCCGCCCTGGGTAATGCTTCCGGCGCAGAGCCCTCCAATTCTGTGCCGCTTCGGCCGCAACCTCAGAAGCGGAAATAAAACGCACGAAGGGTCTAGGCCAATCAGAAAACGACCCTTGCCTCCTTGGGCGGATGCTTGAAGGCTGCCCTGGAAGCCAATCCGAGGCCAAAGCTAGAAAGGGGCGGAACCTGACACTGCGTAGGTCTCGGTGCCACCGCCGCTGTCGTCGCCGCTCCTGCCTTTGCTAGGCTCAAAAGATGACTGTTGGGAGCCCTGCGGGAGCCCACGGTGGCGCGGAGGGGAGCCGTCAGGTGAGGAAAGAGAAGGGAGGAAGCAGAACTGCGCTCCAGAAAGGAATCCCTGAGAGAGAAAACTGTTTGACGTTGCCTTGGAGACAGCAGGGGTGTGTCACGGAGGGGCATGGGGTTAAAATTAGCGTCCAGGGGCCGGGAGGTGGACACTTACTTGGGGTCCTGAACCACTTGAGCTTTATACCAGGGTCTTCATAGGACCATACAGTGACACTCCGTTTTCTCTTATCTCTCAACTACTCTATGACCAATAGTACAATTGTCCCATTTTGTAGAAAACTGAGGCACAGAGAGATTAAGAAATTTGCCCTAAAATCCATAGAGACAGAAAGTAGATTGGTGGTTGCTTAGGGCTGGCGGGGTGGGGTGGGGTGGGGTGGCGCCTGGGAGGGTTAGGGGAAATAGGGAGTGACTACTGAAGAGTATGGTTTCTTTTGGGGGCACTGAAAGTGTTCTAAAATTGTGGTGATACTTGCACAACTCTGTGAATATACTAAAAACCATTGAATTGTACACTTTAAGTGACTGAATTGTATGGTATGGAACTTACATCTCAATAAAGTTGTTTTAAAAAAAAGAAAGAAAATCGCCCAAGAACACATGCTGTTCAGCAGCAGAGCTAGGGCTGGAACACATACATACATTTAACTCAGATCCAGTGTTCTTTCCATTATTACAGCTGGACCTTAGACAACCCAGTAAAATCATTTCCAAGTGTCACCTAGGGGACCACAGTGGTCTGCCCTCAACTGCTTTCCCTTTTGCAACAGCTCATCCTTTATGGTCCCATCCTGGCCCCATGCCTGTGTCTCTAAGGACAACTCGTATCACTGTCCTCCGGCCACACTGGCCCTCTTTCTGCTTCTACAAGATTCACATTTGTACCTGCCCAGGATGCTGCCTCAAGACATTTGCATTTGCTGTTCCTTGAACCCAGAACACTCTTACCCCACATTTTAGCAAGGCTGATTCCTTCTCATCAATCAGGTGTCAATCCAAAATTCTTCCACAGTGAAAAAATAAAACTCAGCCCAGGATTAAGAAAGTATAACTCAGACTGTAATAGACACAGATAAGGCCAACAGCAAGATCAGCAGAAAAGAATGTTTCTCTCAGGGCCGCACCATAGCTGCAAAATTTTTATCACTCCTTGTTCTACATGATAATGCTTACTTATTACTTACCCTGCATGCTTTGTTTTTCTCTTTTGGATAAAAACCGCTCAAATCATCCATTTATAATACTAAATTATCCCCACTTCATGACAGTACTCATCCACAGTTGATCCCTGCTTCCCCTACCTCTCCTCAGAATCAATCAAGACAAGCCAACCCTAGAAAAATCACCCTCCCTACACTAAGTTCCCTATGGCTTTTCATGAACTGTAGCAAATTAATAAACCTAACTCTGATTATAGGTACATTCCTGGTGACCTTTATCTGATGGGCTTTATCAACATAGAAGCTTTCCATAGGCAAACTCCATCACTCTATAACCTCACAGCTTATGGTTTTCAGTGAATTTATTATCAACTTATATTGTCTGTCTCCTCTCACTGGAATGTAGGCTTCATGAGAGTAGGGACCTAGTTTGTCTTGTTCTCAGCCAAATGCCCCATGCACCCAAGAAATATTTTTTGGATGAATCAATGGAGTATTTAAAAAGCTAGCCTAGGCCGGGCGTGGTGGCTCATGCCTATAATCCTAGCACTCTGGGAGGCCAAGGTAGGAGGATTGCTTGAGGCCAAGATTTCGAGACCAGCCTGGGCAACGTAGCAAAACCTCATCTCTGCAAAAAATTTCAAAAAATAAATAGCTGGATGTTGCACTTTCTAGGACATTGTTCTTTCAGCTAGACCACACTGTCTCTCCTGTTAATCATCCATTCCTAGTGAGAGAGTGGAAATTAGCTAGAATATGAGGAAAGCATAGGTGTAGTCAGAGGACCAGGAAAAGAAAGATGGGCAACAAGTAGGTAAAAGCCATGTAAAGCATGGCATGGAGTGTGGCCGAGGTTATGGGGCAGGATTCCTGGAGTGCAGGGAGCAGAATGCACAGTGCAGATCAGGTGTTCTATAGATGCTTACCACACTGCATGGAGTAGGGAGCCAACTGTAACTCTTTGCTTCCCTTTCCTGCCCTTCAACCAAGCACACCCCATATACAAAGTTCTGAAATTTCTTTAGAGTGAGGAACACACCTTGTTTTTTAAAAATTCTTCCCCAGTCCCTTGTATAGAGACTTATTCAAAGTGAAGTTAATAGTTATGTTTTAAATATCTTTGAGACCATTTTTTTTTTTTTTTTTGAGACAGGGTCTCACTCTTTTTGCCTGGGCTAGAGTGCTGTGGCGTCATCCTAGCTCACAGCAACCTCAAACTCCTGGGCTCAAGCGATCCCTCTGCCTCAGCCTCCCAAGCAGCCAGGACCACAGGCATGCGCCACCATGCCCGGCTAATTTTTTCTATATATTTTTAGTTGTCCGATTAATTTCTTTCTATTTTTAGTAGAGACGGGATCTCGCTCTTGCTCAGGCTAGTTTCGACCTCCTGAGCTCAAACAATCCGCCCGCCTCGGCCTCCCAGAGTTGAGACCATTTTTTGACCCACAGTCTATTTCTATTCCATTTAGATATTTCCTCCCAAGTCCTCGTCAGACACAGAGGCAGAAGAGGAGCTGCCTGGGGATGGGCCGGTTCTGCCCAGGGCTGGCAAACTTGATGAGTTCCTCAGTCCAGAGGAGGAGACAAATTCTACTTCTGACTCAACTGGGAGCTTTTATGAGACCCTACAGGTACTAAAGCAGAAAGGCAGACAGTGTCTGTTGGAGTCTTTCTTTCAGTCTGACCCAGACAGTGATGACAACCTCTCTGAAGACGAGGAGGACCTGGAGAAGTTTTTCCAAGACAAGGGCAGGGGGAAGCCACAGGTCCAGTGTCCTCTGTCTCTGAGGTAAGGCACAGCAGTTCCACATCTACCTCATTCCACACCTCCCAGAAAGTCATGTCATGTCTTCATCTTCTTGGGCTTCATCTTTTTCCTCTGTAAAGCAAAGACCAGTTCTACAAATTGCCATTTACCCACATTCCAGCTCAGAATCAGCTTTTGGCTCTAAAGTGTTCCGATTCCTACAGAGCAATCCTAAATCACTTTAGGCAACACTTAGTCCAATGAAGCATTGGAATTGATTAAAGGGATGCCTTTCCCAAACTTGCTTTCCCCCGAGAATGACAAGGTACATTTACTTTGGCCAAGTCTGTTGTATGCATACATACTTTATCGCATTTAATATTTACTTTCTCTTCCAATAACCCTGTAAGTAGATATTATTTTTGCCATTCTCCATATGAGGAAATTGAGGTTGCAGCAGAACCTTGCTCAAACTTTGAAGCATGATTTGAACCTGGGTCTGTCTGACTCTAAAGCCGTGCTCTGCCCTGTTGGACTGTTCTCTCTCTCATATGAAAATATTAGAATGCAAAGTGGCCATTCTGGGATCAAATCTGAGAAGAGACTTCCCATCAGGGCTGCTAGGATTGCCTGTGGGTAGGTTAGGGACATGGAGGCCTGCAGAGATGTGATGTTAGGCTGAGAAGCCAGCTGTGGCCTGCCAGGAAGGAAGGAGGAGGATCAGGGAGGAACTGGGCCTCCTGACTGCCCTGCCCTCCACACACAGATCTGCTTCTCCCCCAGGTGTGGCTCTACAAGGCGCTGCAGCTCCCTGAGCAACCTTCCCTCCGATATTCCCAGGGCTCAGACCCAGCCACCATCAGCCTCTGGGCCTCCCTCCCAACGCAGAAGTGTCAGCTCCTGGGCATCATCCATCACCGTCCCTCGGCCATTCCGCATGACGCTGCGCGAGGCCCGCAAGAAAGCCCAGTGGCTGGGCTCACCTGCCTCCTTTGAGCATGAGAGGCAGCAGGCCCAGAAGCAGGGCCAGGAGGAGGCCGAGTGCCATCGGCAGTTCCGGGCACAACCTGTGCCTGCGCATGTCTACCTGCCTTTGTATCGGGAGATCATGGAGCGCAGTGAGTCCCGAAGGCGGGCAGGGATCCAGAAGAGGAAGGAACTGCTCCTCTCTTCCTTGAAGCCCTTCAGTTTCCTAGAGAAGGAAGAGCAGCAAAAGGAAGCTGCTCGACAGAGAGACTTGGCTACCACAGTTAAGGCCAAGGCCCCTGAGCAGAAGGCCACCAGAAGGATCCCCAAGTCCATTCTGGAGCCAGCCCTCGGGGACAAACTTCAGGGTAAAGATATCCTTGCCAACTTGCTACCTCCTGCCTGTGGGTACAAGTAGGCAGTGTACGGATCTAGTCAGGGCCCATGAGTCAGCCTGGCTTACTGATGTGCTGTTTGGGTGGACTTCCTGCATGGAGTCCGTGCACTCAGTGCAGGCCATGGGGGAGGGATAGGTCATCTATACAATGAGGACCCTGTAAGGAGCAAGGAGTCAGGTCTCACACTGTCCCCCAAGGCTCATCCTGTTGACTTCTCTCAGTGATGCATGTGAAGGCCAGCACAGGTGCAGGAGCAGAGGACCAGTGAGACCCTCAAGGACCAGCTTGGGCCAATGCCATCACTAGCCAGCTGCCCCTGAGGAAAGCTCCCCACCCCCTCCCTCATCTTGGTGAGGGGGTGTCAATCACTAAAATTACTTGGGGGATGATTATTTACACATATCAAAAAGTATAGCTCCAAATAAGGGACTCAGGCGTTATTCACTCTGCAGTAGCATGTGCCCCATACCAGGCACTGTTCTATGGTGAATAAACAGACATGGAGTTTATAGACATGTGAAGAAGACAGATAGTAGACAAATAAATGTAAATGTGATGAGTCATTTACAAGGATTAAAGGGGGAAGTCCAGGAGCATATACCTGTGGGACCTAACTCGCCGTTTAGGTGTGGTGACGGGTGGGAGCGGTTAGGGAAGGTCCCCTGGGGCTGACCTGGGTGGACAAAGAGGGAGGAGTGGAGCAGGCTGAGGTGTGGCGTGGAGTGGCATGGAGGTGAGAGAAGCTGAGCACATGCCAGGATGGGAAGGCAGAGGGTCGAGAGAAGAGGGCAAAGGGGAAGGGAGAGGCAGGCTTGGGCTAGCCCTGAGGGCCTTGCAGGCCAAGTTAGGCAGTCTGCACTTCATCCCAAGGGCACTGGGGAGCCACTGAAGGGTGTTAAGCAGGGTGGGTCATGATGAGACATGCAGCTCAGAAGATCCCTCTGATTGCTGTGTAGATAACTAAACAGCAAGACTCGAGGGATGGTGAGCCAATAGGAATCTGTTTCAACAATTCAGTTGAGAAATTATGAAACTGGTCTCAGGGATGATGAAGAGAGGATGGACAGGAGAGAGGTTAAAGAGGAGGAGATGGCAGAACTTGTGACTGACGAGCAGAGAGAGGGAGGCATCAAGAATGATTTGGGCAGAGGGCTTGGGCAGTTGGGTGGATGGTGGCCTTTCGCTGAGATGGGGAAATGTGGGAGAGGAGCAGGTGACTGGTCCACTTCCGCCTGCGTCATCTCTGAAGAAGGAATCATAGAAAGTGCTCAGTAAATACAAACAGCGGCTCTGCAGCCTGATTGGCAAGGCAGTGGTGTCCTGATAAACAATATAATGTTCATCATTTTCTGTGGCGTAAATAATCCTGTCATGGCTAATTGCAAGCTTCCCACGTGATGTCAACGGACTCACAAAATTCCTAAAAAGTTAACAATTGGCTCCAGCACGCTACTGCTAGTGCTTAAAAGAAGGAAAGTTCTCCAAACCTTTTAGTAGTATAAGACTTGGTCCCTTCTCACTGTTTTTCTCCACAGAAGCTGAGCTCTTCAGGAAAATTCGCATTCAGATGAGGGCCCTGGACATGCTCCAGAAGGCCTCCTGCCCTGTTGCCTCCTCTAGAAGCCAGGCCGACCGACAGCCCCGCACAGCCACCCGAACCCGGGAGGAAAAGCTCAGGTTTCTGCACACTGACTTTGGATTCCAGCCTCGGGTGAATCCTGTGGTCCCTGACTATGAGGGCCTTTACAAGGCCTTTCAGAGAAGAGCTGCCAAAAGAAGGGAAACCAGAGAGGCAACTCGCAACAAGCCCTTCCCGTTGAGGACTGCCAACCTGTGTCATACTCAGCGGTCCTGCCATGCTGCCACCACCGGAGGGAGCAGGGTGAGAGCCCAGGCAGCTGTGGGAGGCCCAGGGCCTGAGGCCTGAAATACAGGGTGGGTCCAGGTCTCAATGGAAAGCACTTCTTATAACATTTTTCTTTTTTTTTTTTTTCTTAAACACAAGCTCAGTTATAAGCAGATCCACATTCCTATAAACTCAAGACCATGAGAAGACTTCCTTTCCTTCCCTCTTTCTAGAGGAATTTTGCAGAAATAAGTCCAAGTAGGTCTGGAAGGCAGAGATTTGGGATCAATTGCTTATGTCCCTAATTCGAAGGAACTCTTCTCGTTTTATTAAAAACTTTAATATTCATATCCTTTGGTAACTTGCCCGGGTTGCTGAACTTGAGATCTTATTAGCCTTGCCTATTCCCAGGGGAAAAAAATGAAGATTCTCATTTTCAGTCCTTCACTGAAATTGAATACTCGTTAAGGCAGAAAGTAATCACACATGCTGTCCCACCAATACCAGCCTTTGTTTCTTCTAGGATTCCCCACAGCCACCAGCTACACCCCTGCCAAGGAGTCGTTCTCTAAGTGGCCTTGCTTCCCTCTCTGCCAACACGCTCCCTGTGCACATCACAGATGCCACCAGGAAGAGGGAATCTGCAGTCAGGTGAGTGGTCAGGCTACCCAGGTCTCATAATGCTCTGATTTTGGCTGAAATGCCGAAAACCATCCTGCTGCTGGAGCTCCTCTCCAGTGATCAGTGACACTTCAAGGGGTGTGAGGGAATTCTCTCATCAGGACAGGAATACATGTGGCTCTCGCCACGTGGTACTGAGAACACCTAGCCATCATTCAGCAAATATTCATGGGGTACTTACTCTGTGCCAAGCACCATGTTAAAGCTGCAGATGCCTTAGGGAACCTACGGTTTAATATCTGGTCTGAAATACAGAAAAGCAAAAATGCAATGATCATATTTTATGAGTAGTGCAATGATGAGGGAGGACAGGGGACTGGGAGGGTGCTGGGCAGCTTGGGGCAGGAGTCGCTTGTCTCTTGGAGTAGATGTCTAAGGTGAAACCTGAAGAATGAATGAGGAGTTAGCCAGACAAAGCCTGGAGAGAAAGATAGTTCCAGATAGAGAGAACAACATGGGTAAAAACCCACAGGTCAAAGAGGAAAGTAGCCATGAGGAACAAGAATTCATAAAAGCATGATAGGTGGTTGAACCTGCCACAAAACAGATGAGACATCCATTGCACAGATTTGAGATTCTATGAGATTCATCTTGGCGAAATATCAGAGTCAGTTGGGAAGCAGGAGCCTGCTTGTTTTTAATTCTTCAACTGACCTGACTCTGTCATGATACTGTTCTCACTGAGCCAGCCTCCCAGCAAGAGTTCCTCCACTAGGCCTCTGAGCTGACATAAGCAGGGGAGGGTCATGGTGTAGAAAGCAGCTTAGCCCCAAGCAGTTTAGCCCGGGAGAGGATAACGTCTCAGTGCCCTCCCATAGGACTCATGGGGGAGTGTCTGGAAACTATGTGCCTCCTTAAGACCCACAACAGGGATTGTAGAAATGTATTTAGGATCCAAGGGATACACCTTTCTTCTTCAAATTTCATAGGTAGACCTACTAAAGCAAGGCTAAATGCATCGGCATCCTGAGAGCCCAATAAGATAGGCCTCATGAACAAGAGGATGGCCCACTTATAGAGGATGTCCACATCTGCTTTGCAGCAGGGGGTTTGATATATTAGCAGATTAAACTTTTCCCGTCTATTTGAATGTAAACATCCAAAGGCAAGAACCTTGATTGTTTTTCCTTTTGGTAGAACTCTCCATAGTACCTTGTAGAATGATAATAGTTTGATAAACTAAGTGCTGTAGCTTGACCCCAAATTGTCTACATTGAAGGGGGCCCATTTCCAGTTCTCTTTGGAAGTGCAGATTTATATTCCCAAGGGAACATGAACCCAGACACCCTCCAGCCCACTGTTTACAGCGCAGTGGTCCAGGGCAGAGGCTTGGGAGTCAGAGATCCTAGTTCTAATCCTGGCTTTTTCACTGGCATGCTGGGTAGCTTTGAGAAAGTGGCTTACTTTCTCTGAGCCCCAAACTCCTCCCCTGTAAAAAGGGGACTTACAATCTTTACCTCTTAAGGCAGCTATGAGGATTACATGAAATATAATGGAATTTGGTTCAGCAAATGGTAGCTATTACAATAGTATTACTTTGTTTCCAGATAGGTAAGAAGTCTAGCAAAGACCTATATAGAGTGTTTGGTTGTTTAAGTTAAGGATATTTTAAGTCACGTTTTTCCAGTTCAATAAATGAACTTCTCGTGGGGTAGGAAATCACCGTGTCCATGATGCTGGAAAGGCTTCATCCACCAGTGCATTTAAGCCCAGAATCTTATTTTCTGAAAATGGCAGCTGTGGTAAATAACCTGCCCCATTCATTGAAAACACCAATGTCCTTTCCAGAGTGGTTACTAAGATTGCTTTTAAATATACTCAAGCTGATCATCTACACTCTTTTTTCGCCTCCTCCCTTTAGAAGTTCACTTGAAAAAAAGGACAAGGCAGATGAGAGTATTCAGTGGTTGGAGATGCACAAAAAGAAGTGTCAAGCGATGTCTAAATCTGTGACCTTACGTGCAAAAGCCATGGATCCCCATAAAAGCCTGGAAGAGGTGTTCAAAGCAAAGCTGAAAGAGAACAGGTCAGTGTCCTCTGTATGAAAGGGGTGCCTGCCTTGGGATCCATCAGATCATAGGACTTGAAAATGGCAAAATGGAGTTATTAGGGTAGGCTCCTGTAATCACAAGGAGTCAAGGATTCTGCCAGGCAGTTAGGAATTTATAATGTACATGGGAGTTACACTGCTTAACTAGAATGAAGGGGATTCTGGATTGAAAAGGCAGAATTCTCTCTAGAAATCTTGTTAATTTCAGGAACAATGACCGTAAAAGAGCAAAAGAGTATAAGAAAGAATTGGAGGAAATGAAGAAGAGAATACAAACAAGGCCCTACCTCTTCGAACAAATTAGCAAGGTAAAACTAAACCATCATTATTCATTTTCTTTCTGCCTTAGATGAAAGGGCTCTTAGAAATTATGAAACGATTTTAATACATGGGTATTAAACATTTCTTTGAGAGGCTCAGAAATTCTAAATTGGGCCCATTTTATTACTACCATCTTTTCCCAAAATAAGTAGTACAACGGTGAATGCTGCTTGAGTTGATTTCATCTAAGACTGGATTCCAAAGGCATCTATAAAAGGATATTTCACTTCCTAGAGTTTTTACTATGGTTTTGCCTCCAGATTGAATCAGAGTTGGGGAGTTAGATCCCAGAGACACAGTGACCATTTAGCTGTTTCTGCTGTCTGGACCCTCTGTTCACTGTGCTGGGAAGGCACCTTCCTCTGGCAGTGCTGCTGTCCCTGGGTGTCCCCAGCCTCTAGGGAGGTGCCATATTTATAGGTCTCCAAGGGTTGGGATGCTCACAAGCACCCCACAAGGCTACTTCTTTCCACATTAAGTGGCTTTCAGACTGGAAGATTATCATTTTAAAATATTGTCTGGACTTTTAGGGAAGTTGTACTCAGTTGAGATCTCCCTAGGGAAGCTCTGGAGCTACTTAACAGCCCAGACAGGCCACCATCCCAGGCAGTTTCAGGCTTCATCGGGCTCTGTAGATCCCTTTCCTCTCCAGTGTTTTAGACAAAAGCTTGAGTTCCCTAGAGACCTTGTTGCACTTGCTGAGCATTAGCTCCATCTTACAGCTACTGTATTTATCTAGGCATTTGCTGGATCCACACTCCCCACCCCATAAATCTCTCTCTCTCTCTCTCTCACACTCTCTCTCTCACATAAGGTCTTGGATTTACTTAGTAATCTGCATTGTTCAAAATCTCTCATGCTGACCTTTCTTCTTTATGTTAATTTGTTTCAAGTAAATTCAGTCTTCAGATCTCAACAGATGTTTCACCACTCTAGGAAAAACAAAGTATTCTGATTTTGCTCTTGAATATTAAAATTTGCCCTGGGTAGACTGCTGTGGCATCATCATAGCTCACAGCAACCTCAAACTCCTGGGGTCAACTGATCCTCCTGCCTCAGCCTCCCGAGTAGCTGGGACTATAGACGTGTGCCACCACACCCAGCTCATTTTTCTATTTTTTTGTAGAGACGGGTCTTGTTCTTGCTCAGGCTGGTCTTGAACTCCTGACCTCAAGCAATCCTGCCTCAGCTTCTCAGTGTGCTAGGATTATAAGCATGAGCCACTGAACTCAGCCGTGGTTACTTTTAAATCTTAAGATATTTTTAGTCTATCTTTTTTCATGTGGGTCTCAACTGTCTCCGCAAAATCTAAGACCTTGCTTTACAAAGGTGTGGCACCCAAATCAACAGCTGCCATCTCCTGGTTATGTCAGAAATATAGAATTGCAGGCCCCATCTGAGACCTACCAAATGAGAATCTGCATTTTAATACTAACAGTATCCTCAGGTGACTCATATGCACATTAAGACCTGAAAACAAGACTTAAGTAATTTTCATGCAAATCTGTGCCAGCAATAAGGGTGGTGGTGGTGGTAGGGGAAGTATTGTAAGGATTCTGATTAAACAAGTAACTTAGAATTGTCTGGTAGGTTCACAAAATGGCTACAGCAGATTAATTTCCATTCCACAGGATCTTGCCAGGAAAGAAGCAGAACAACGGTATCTGGACACCCTGAAGCAGGCTGGGCTGGAGGAAGACTTTGTGAGGAACAAGGGTCAAGACACCTGGGCTGTACAAGGGAAGGAAGGGACCAAAGTCAAGGATTCTCCCAGGTAATCTGAGATGCTGCTGTCATTCTGCAGCTCTCTAAATTGTCTTCCCAGTAATACCACTGGGAGGAACCTTGAGAACAGCCACTCATATTTTGAGATCACATCCTAAATTTATATAACAACTAATCCAGGGATCTCCAAGTAACACATTTGAATTGAGAGTGGTGCAGTTGTGAATAAAATCTAACCATTGTATGTTAAGTTTGATTTCTTCAATCTGAAATAGATCATTTCCAATTCCAGTTCCAATTCCATGAGTCAAAAGTATTTCCACTTTATTTCTGAAGAAAAATCATGTATTAATATTATTTTTGACTTCTTATAAAATGATATAACTGTTTTTCTAGCATTCCTTAAAGGTAACTCATTAGCACTACCTCCTCCATAACCCATTTTGATACAAGTCAAAGGCAGAAAAGCATAGTGTCTATGCATTATTTTCAATTTTGTTTTGTTTCTTAAGTCTTAACAGCTCCTCCCCTAATTTCTGTATCAGTTCCCCTCTAGAAATTTTCCTTTACAGCCCATATAAAATAATGAGAATGCTGAGACCATTCTTAAACCTTATACAATGCCTTAATTTAAAATTTTGTATTTCATAATGCTTTAATTTATTCTGTAGCATCCATGAAACTACAAAATTCAGCATCAGAGATCCACAGCAGGACTTAGAAGACTCTCTAGAACAGGCTACATGTCCCAAGAAAGTACTGGAGGAGCTGTCTTATGAATCCCTGGACAATCTCAAATCACTTGCTTAATAAGTACACTTAAAATCACTGCTTTTGAACAATATGCAGCAGCTAACAGGTTTGAGTCAAAGTAGGCAAAACTTGGGTTTTGAGGCATGGCTACTGTTAGAGAATGGGGAAGAGTAGCAGATAACACAGAAATCAAAGTGGGGAAACTCAAGTGAAGGGATCATAGCCCAGAGTTAAGGGTTCTTACATTGTGCCTCCCACTCAGAATATAGGTACAGAAAAAAGAGCACAAGCCCAGCTGCCTATACGGCTAGTCAGGAAACAAGTGAGTCAAATGGGGTAGGGCGTAGACAGTAGGAGATGGTAGAGACTGGAGAGGATAAACTCTGCTGGAATACAGGCTCAGAGTTACCAGATCAACCGCATTTTCATCACACCTGAAATCTGCATGTTGGCAACTAATCTAAAAATTATTTAGAAATATTGTGTAGGCAAAATAAAACACATCTATGTATCAGATTTGCCCCATGGAAGATGACAAATTTGCAATCTCTAGTAGCAGAGTTTCTTATTCTCAGCACTATTTGTACTTTTAGTCTTTTCTGGTGGTGGCAGAGTGATACTCCAGTAACTACCGCCTCAGTTTGCTAGTTAGAAATGACTAGGTTTGCTAGCGCTCATGTCATGTTTCCTAAGATTCCTCAGTTCAGTTTTACCTGCATGGACTCCAAAGGATAAAGCAGTGCATTATCTTAAAGGGAAAGAACTGGATTATTAATCTCCTAAGAAAATAAATTTTGTCCAAAACAAGAGCCAAAGACTGACTGGGCTGTATTTTTTTATTTAAAGGGAAAACTGATGCTCTGAATCGTGTGATTTTTAACTTTAAAAAAACAAAAACAAAACCCTCTTAGCATGCTACTGTATGTTCCATTAACAAAGAAAGCAAAGTGACCAAGTAGAGGTGTACAGGACAAGATAGTACCTCAGCCTGGGCCAAGGGGAGATTCAAGTAATTTATTTTTTGCAGCCCAGTGGCAGAGTCTCTTACTCAGGTTGCTAAAGGGAGAATGTCACAACAGAATTGACATCACTCCCTTCTTCAAAGCAACAAGGCATCTTGAAAGCTCAACTTCCTGGTGAAGTTTTGTGGTTGGTGGCAGGACTTAATTCATCCATGTGAAAAGATAGCCAAGTCTGGGATGAAAACTCTTCAAAGGAAAACCTCCTCTCAGCAGTCATAAAGAGAAACTTCAGCCAGCACATTAATCAAATTCACTTTGGGAGAAGTCTATCTCAAAATTTTGCAGTGGGAAGAGGGGTAGGTACAGTTACCCAGCCCACAGTCACTGCTTCATTCCTTGTCTGGATCAGATGATAATTAGAAGAAAAGCTCTCCTACATCCATCTTCTATGCCAGGGAAGATGAACAGAGGCAAAAGTGGAGTCTTGTTCTTCACAGATTCATATTGGTTCTGGCAGATCATGAGCTACAGCATCCTGTTCCCACTATATGCACTCTGAGATCAGATAGAGCTGCTCTTCCAGGAGTCAGCACCCACGCTCATGTCCGTCTCTCAGTTAAATCTCCTTGGTTTAGTAACTGTAAAAGTTGAAAGCAAATCTAGAATAGGTTACAGTTGAATTATAGGAAAAATAATTCATACTCAGTAAAAGGATTAAGAATGAAGGATGAGGAACGCACTGCAGAGATGAATCAAGGATATCCATCTACTTCCAAAGCAAAAAACATGCAAAGACTGAAAGATCTTATTCACATAACTAGCCATGGACAGCACTTTAGCCACTTCATGAGGCTGGCATGTTAACTATGGCAATCAAATATCCTGAGTCTATAAACCAAACTATTATTTCTGTAGTCACCTACTCACCAGTGATGAAGGAATCTATACCTTACAGGGAAATTAGAAATGATAGAACCAAAACCTTGTAAGTCAGTGTCAGCCAAAGCACAGACTGAAGGCTCAAGTAACAGAAGAAAACAGGAAAAGGAGCTGTTCCATTTATAAATACAATATGAGTGTTGGAACCCTTTCATAAAAGATCCAGGGGTTTCTTGGACTTAAAAGAATACCTTTCCTGTGATGAAGGGAGATAAGCCTGAGGGACTCCTGCACAGTGGCAGCTAACACTGACATTAGACTCTACACTCAAGGTTTCTGTTCAAAGGAGATTCTGTACAATAATTAATGAAACTGGTTTCCATTTTATTATAAAAAGAAAATGAAGCTGGGCATGGTGGCTCACACCTGTAATCCCAGCACTGTGGAAGGCTAAGGAAGAGTCACTTGAAACTAGGAGTTTAATAAGACCAGTCTGGGCAACATAGAGAGAACTAATCTTTATGAAAAAGTAAAAAAATT